TTAATTTTTATAAAATAAATATATAAGTTGGCTAAGATAATATTTCAAACGCACATGTACAAAAAAAAATGAAATATGTATTTAATACAATAAGAGATAAATTAATTAGTATAATTTATGTTTAGTTTCCTGTGAATTATTTTCAATTTAAAACAATAATTTTAAATTATTTATTTAAGTATCGCCATATTTAATTATTTACAGTTCATTAAATTGTGAGAGAATATACAATTCGGTTATAAGGGCAAATTTATAATTATTAATTTTACAACATAATTTCAAGACAAAAATATATTATAACAACTAGTTTTATTATTTGGAACCTATGTGTAATTCTCATAATATTTTATTCTATTATTGCCATCTAAGCTATCATAGAATGACTAATTTGTATGATGTCTATTTTAAACATTTTCTTTCAATTCTTTGGACATTTCTATTTTTTAACGTGGGGTTTGGTATCGAGAGCAATTTGTGCCCATCAATTCGTTATGATTGTACTCCAATTATAGTCAAGCACAGACAAGGGTGCAAAATAATTAAAAATAAGCCTCAATTATGTTTCTTATACTTCAAATGGAGAATTTGCGAGTAGTAAATCGTAATCCTATTGCAGCCCCATCATTCTTATACTTCCCTATGTCACATTGTCATTCATGTCGCGAGATTATGACCACTTTTTTGTACAAAACTAGACAATTTGTCTTCTTTCGGATGCAGTGTAGTTCAAATTTTGTTAATATTTTTTTAACATATTGTATATTCTATTAATACTTTTGTGGATACATCACGAACAATTGAGGTTTATCTTTTCCAAGAAAAAAATATTATGTGTGCGTATATTATATAAAATCACTAATACCATCAATGGTATAATCAATTTATATTTACAATTATCTAACATGTTATGTTTTTATTAGATAGAGCATAAATAACATAGTGCATCAGGTCCATGTAAGAATTTCTCTATTATTTTTTATTAATTCTATCATTGAAAAGTTATAGAAAAGTTGGTTTTACATATGCTTTGAAGGTTGAAATAAACTATTGAAGTGAATAATTTTTTTTATTAGTACCTATTGAAATGAATATAAAACCGAACCTTAATGAAAATTGTATAATTCATTACAAAAATTACACATTTGACAATAAGTAACTTATCATATTAAATATTTTTATAAATTATAGAGCAATCTATATCTCCTGTTGAGACTCGTTTTGATTTTTGAGCATCTTTAAGAATATGAAAACATTTTTGGTTTTACTTAAATTCTAAATATTCAAAACTTTTGATGAGAATGAATTGAATATTTTTTTGTATTAATTTTAAAATATTCTTGAACTCTAATGACCATTCTAGTATTAATTTTCAATCTTGCAATTAAGTTGACTTTATGAGTTTACCATTTTTATATTTCTAACTTATAAAATCAAATTAACTCACTCATAAACTTGGACTACATGCAAACTTGGTTAAATACATGAGTTGACTCTCCTAGTTTACCATTTTTATGTTTATAGCTTACAAAATCATGTTAACTAGCTCATAAACTTGGATTACATGCAAACACAGTTAAACTCATGAGTGATTAAGTTACACTCATCAATTTTTTACCAAACTAAGTGAGTTAAGTATATATGATGTAAAACACAATTTATAGAAGAAGTAGGACCCAGTTCAAAGAAAAATAAAACTCAAAAAGCCAAAAAAAATTAATAAAAAAGAAATACCAAAAATCGGTTGCCCTATTTTGACATTTCTATGTTGATATGATAATCTATTAATATTGATGGATTTAATGTCAATGATTTAGATTTGAAATATATTTAAATCAAATTATGATCATATTTTGTATTTTAATTATTTAATCATATACTTTTAATGACTATTTATTAATAGAGGTAAACTTTTACAAATTTATGACCCGAGTTTATGATTGAAGTTTACATCCTCGCCATGAGTTTACTTAAACTCATAAGTTTGACAACCTTATTGATCTCGATTTATTTTCATATTTGAATTTATTAAGAGAATGTTAATAGAAAAGTTTAGCAATATTCCAATTGAAATATTAAACTATATTAAAATAATAATAAAAATATTACATGCATATATTGCTTGTAGAATATTATTAACAATATTTATAATAGTTAACACTTATCAAAAAAAAAGTTTTCCAAAATTAAAATCATTTGATTCCGAATTAAGATCAACTATATAAAAATAAATAAATTTAATGAATTGTCTATATTATCTTTTGAAAATGAAATGTTGGAATTACTTGATTAGAAAATTTTGAAATCAAATTTTGTAACTGATGAAAGTTAGAAAATTTATGAGGATAGACAAAATAATAGCACAGTAGGTCACCGTGATAATTTTTCCTTGTGCTTCTAAACTTTTTCACACAGCCTAAATGTTGTCCCTATGGTTAATAATGTTAACTTTGATCGTTAGTTAAACCAAAAAAAAAATAAAAAAGAAAGACCTTTACAGAAAAAGGACCCAAAAGTTATAGATAAGTCACCTATAAGAAAATTAATACTGATTAAGTCTCCCATAATCTTTGAATTTTTTTGTAATTTAGAGTGCTTAATTGATATTAATTTTTTATAGGATATTTTTTCATAATTTTTGGATAATTTTTTATAATTTTAGAGGTACGTTATGTGATTTTCTAGATCAACTAATGCTTAAAGTTAATATTTTGTTAATAGTAGAGGTATCATTGTATCATTTTTAAATGTTAAAGGGATATATTATATTAAAAAAAATAAGATATCAGACGGTCGCATGAATAGTTAAGGGGGAAAAATGCCCTCTAATTCTTAGATATTTCCGATGTCATTTTATTCAAAATAGTGGGGTCAGTGAATGCATAACGTTGTTGTCTTTTCTCTTCTTGACTCATTATTGTAGTCATGGAGAGAAAAATAAGCCATTAATGGTGACAATTCATCTATTTTACTGTTGTCCATGTTTTATTAGTCAAGTGTAAACTCAAATATTTCTGTCGCAAAAAAAAAAAAAATGGCACCGTCAAGGAGATTATTTTGGTCTGAAAAAGAGAAAATTATCAAGTCTTTTTTCTAACAACTTCCTGAATTGATGGGGTCAAAAAGAAAAAGAATCTTATCATTTTTATTCATACTCATTTATCTCTATGTCAAGCCAGCTCATGGATCCATGACTTAAAAAAGTGGCACAATAGTGAATAATAGAGTCTTCGTTAAAGTTGTTAGAACGTTTATATTAGTCCTTTCGATCCTATTATTAAGATATTTGAGACATTTTTTACATATTTTAAGAAAATTTATTATGTTTCTATATTTGTTAAAAATATCTAAAAATTTCAATTATACTTCTACTAATTAAAGAAAGATAATGAGTCACCTTATTACTTATGCAAATGTTTTCTCTCAAGCCAAAGGATAAAATTAGAATATTATTTCATCTTTTTGTTTGATACCTTATTTTTGTTTTTGTAAAAACTTTATAGATAGGACCGGATAGTATATTTTTAAGAATGTTTATAACTTGTATTTTATTATTATTATCATTAGAGAAAATAAATATTATTTTACATTTAAATTACTAAAATAAATAAATTGAAAATGATTACTGATGCCTCTATATAACTGTTTTTACAAAATTTTAAGTAAATTGGATTATAGAAGTTCCCCAAGTTTAAAAAATTGAGGTTCTATAGGAGGATATTTCCAAGTCATTTTCCAACTCATTATATTGTTCTAGCCCTAGAAAGGGAATTTTGTCTTATCTCTCCATACTCACATTTTAAATTAAGTCAACTTGAATGACTTTAGCGTATTAAAAGGGACACAAGCACAATAATCACAGCCTTACCTGAAATTACCTCTGTAATTTTTTGTTCATTTTATTCTTTTGGTTCTCTTTCTCTTAATTTCTGATTCCATTTTGTATCAGAGATTTTGGGAATTATATAATCATATATAATGTTTATACTATTATTACTCAATAATAATTTTATTCTATTATTTTCTCCCTCAATTCAAGTGAAGAAGAAACGTTTCTCACACACAAAAATTACAATTTTGTTTGTGTTTTGATTAAGGGGAGGCATAGAAAGTGGGGTCACATTGAGAGTGCTAAGAAAGGAGGCCATTAAATTGCAAGCTTTATTTTGGAGCAAAATGATACCAATTTAATCTTGCATTGTTTAATTAATTAATTAAACCTATCTACTCGCTCCAGTTCTTGACATAGGGCAAACTTGGAAAAAACATTTGGTCCACAATACAAGACAAAGTTAGAGTATTTAATGGTTTTCTTCCAATTTTACTCATTATTTATTTATTTATTATTATTTGAATTTTTAAACAATAATTTATTGCAGTTATTAATTACAAAAGGTGGGAAAATTGAGATCGTTACACTTTTCAGCAATTTTTATGATATAACTATAATTTTTTAGTTGGGACAAAGTTAGTTAAGTTTGCCTTATATTGAGCAAATATATGTATTTGTAAGCATGCATATGGGCATGCTGTTTCCGGTAACTTTTGCGTGCGTGAAACTAGAAATTCCCATGGCAGGCGATAAAATTATCCACCAAAAGTCACACTTTGGAACCAAATAGAAAATATAATCACATTTTATGTCCCAATATCCCAACATCTCTGATAAAGCTTAGAAAAAAGGATGTATAAAATAATCTTATAATAAAATTTCCTATTTGATCTTGCAGTTAAATATAAAATGATACGATATAAAATCATTTGAATATCTATAAAATATATCAATTAATTACAATCTCAAAATCAAAACTGTTTCTCCATTCGTATGAAAATAATCAAAGATTAAAAAAAAATTACATGCTTTTCTTGGGGATTATAATAATCTATTAGCCAATTAAACTGTATATTAAATCAGGTGGGACCTTGTTAACCTCAAAGACATAGATATAGCATGACCTTATATACTCACCACCTTGTTCAATCTTGCCTTAAAGCAATCCAATATGGCCAACCTTTGGTTTCATTTTTCCTTCTCGATGTTCTCACAGCTTTGCTGTCCCATTGTCTGCCCAATTTCATGTCAAACCAATTTCACTAGAAATGATGAACTGGCACTTCTTGCTTTCAAATTTTCTGTGAGAGACCCATTCAATCACTTGGCTAATTGGTCCAACTCTTCCTCCATTTGCAATTGGGTTGGGGTTACTTGTGATGCTAATGGTGAGAGAGTAAGGATGTTGAATCTTGCTCACATCAGTCTAATGGGCACCTTACCCTCACAAGTGGGGAATTTGTCCTCCCTTGTTGAACTTGATCTTCACAGTAACAACTTTCATGGTGAGTTACCAAAGGAGTTGCTGCAGTTACACAAGTTGACAATTCTCAACTTGAGCTCTAATGAACTTGATGGGAAGATTCCAACTTGGATTGGAAGTTTATTTTCTATTCAGCACCTGATCTTTCGTAATAATAGCTTTGGGGGTGTTATTCCTCCAAGTGTTTCGAATTTGTCAAAGTTAGAGAACTTGGATTGGAATGATAATTTTATCCATGGATCTATTCCACCGGAGATTGGAAGGCTTCAATGTTAAAGATTTTATTTATAGTAGGGAACAATCTTTCAGCAAAAATAGCTCCAACTATTTCTGGCTTATCTTCACTTGAGTTGATATCTCTGTCATACAACTCTTTGATAGGTATGTCTTTCATGATGTCGGATAAATTCATGTTTTCTCCAAATTATTTCAAACAAATTCTGCAGGCCATTAGTGCATCTTAGGATAAGACATTTACTATCTCTTATTCAACATTCATTTCCCCAATTGTTTTCATTATTTCGAATATAAATAGCAAATAGGAGCGAAGGGAAGATCCTCTAAACAATTAAAATTAAAAGTTCTATTAAATTCAGTGAAAACGGGGAAACATGTCTCGAGTGTAAATTCTTTGATCAATCATTATAATTTTAATTGAGTTGCATAAGAAGGAATAAGTAGGCATAGAACCAACTTCTGATCGGATAAATTAAAACATAATCTTAGGTATTTAAGTTTCAAATATTTTTAAAGTGTCTTTTAGATGTTATATTTTACTGAATAATTTCTCAATGACATTGAATATACTTACAAAGTCCCAAAAAGATAAGTGAAAAATTTAAATGAAATTTTATACTTTCTATTTCTTCAGACTTTATCAATCTTTCATTTTTTGCCAACAATTTATCAATCTATATATACTATATATTGTGTAACTCATTCACTCATCATACTATTAATCTCATGGGAAACATTCTAAAAGCCAAAAGTTACATTTTGATTTTATATATTCTCAACCATCATCTCATAAAGTTATATTGTATTACTTTAACCCATTGCATGAAACTTTAAAATAACAAAATCTGTCTCTCTCTGTTTCAAGAAAGTTTTACCTCATTTTCACTTTTAATACAACTTCATATACTTGGGTTTAAATTAATTGTTTAGCTACATACCTCCAGAAACTTGATTTTGCTTCAAAAATTAGATCTTAGTCACAATAATTTACAAGGTGTATATACTGTTAATAAATTATATTTCTGTACCTTCGATCATTTTTTTTCCTTTGTCTTTTGAAACATGATAATTATAAACTTAAATGCTAATAGCTTTCCAGTCAAAATACAGTTAATAATTTCTAATATTAGACTTGGAAGTTGGAACATATTCACTTGAGTGACAATGTTAATAACTATGACTATATCACTATTAAAATATAAAGTCTTCATTTCAGTTGTTCGCTTTAAATTATATGCAAGAATTTAAAAATAAAAAATATAGAAAGCACATAGTGTGCCATGTATCCTCACTATGTCATGCACCGAAGCGAATTATGCTAATACACAATAATGATTTTTACTATAATGACAGCACCCATAACCAACTTCCAACACATGCCATTTTTTTGTCTAACATCTAATCGAGGTGATTCACACATAGTTTATTTAGCTATCTAGCTAACGGAAACCTATAGTTTATTTAGCTATCTAGTTAACGGCATACATAGGTTTCATCCAAAAATAATATCATACCATAGAGTTGGACACCCAAACCAAAATAACTTTTTTTTTTTTATACAATGTCCACTTTCAAGGTGTCCAAACTCATAACCCTATGCCATTAGCCCATATCAAGGCTTGAACACATTCAATGGACTCTAAATGACCATACAAATAATCACAATCATCAAAATTACTTTAAAGTGGAATTTGACTACTCAAGCTGCAATACTTTAACCAAAAGGGGGCAAAATCACCATTTTAAGTTTAAAACATCCACAGCCAACAGAAATCCAATTAAACTATAAAATCAATACTTTCACTAGCATCTTTTCCTAACACATCATTTGATCATCAACATAAAATATATGGCCAAAATACAACAAAATACGTGTTCAATGGTTATTGGTGCAAGTGAATCAAAATATTAATCTCTAGTTGGCAAATATATATTCAAAGTACACATAAAACTAAAGAGCATTATAATAATCAACAAGCTCTACTCTTCACCCCCTTGGCCTTTCCCTTTCTCCCTAGCAGAGCCTTCACATTTAAAATGTTAACCATGGGGCTGAGAACAATGTCTAAGGAACCAAATAAACCAATTCAATCACATGTAAGTTTAGAAAGTAAATGAACATGCAAAATAGGCAATATAAACCAACTAAGCTTGTTTAGATAATACATATACCAATGCATGATCAATTACAACCTCCCTTATATCCTCTTATTACCTTTGACTAAATCTATGGGCTATTGATACAATCAAGGCTATGTCCATGTGATTGAACTAGCTCAAACTTACCAATTTTGAGTGTTGACTTGACCAAAGGATCCACATTCACTTTCGGACCATAGATTCTCCCTTCTCGAATACTAGGGTGTCATATGCCCAACCCACACCTAATTAAGGGTGATAACAAGGCTATCATAATAATAAACCAAATATCAAGGCCTCCTATGGTGTCAATGGGAACCATATGGAATTTGTCTAATCCTATATGGTGAACTTCCACCCTTTCACACAGTAATCATGCCATAACAAGTATGTTATTCACAATGTTTTTCTGAACATATTCATTCTCAACATACAATCATTTAATTTACAATAATTTTCACCATCACATATTCACAATCATACATATCTTTCAAAATTTTCTAACCCACTTTACATATGATTTGAAAAGCAAAACTTAGCATTTATATACATATCAAAATATCACTTATTTCACAACAAATACACATAAACAAATCAAAGCAAGATGAAGGAATTAGGTGATTTTTTTATAATATGATTTACCATACATTAAGACTTTTAGCATTTTATGACTTTTCTTTATTTGTCACAATGCTAGAAATACTCTCAACAAGATAGCTTCAACTAATGTGAACTTTATATCTCTAATATTAATAATCTTTGAGGCCATGCATTGATTAAACCATACTAAAAATAGAGTATTTTTATTTTAATCTGGATGAATTTTTTTCTTTAACAAATCATGCATTGCATTTGAATGCTTTTGTTTTTTAATGAATTATATAGGAAGTATCACTTAAAAGTTCTATGCATTTGAAAAAAATAAAGCAAAATTCATTACCCAAATTTCAAGGCTTTATTATCTCTTTTTAACCGTTCCCACTTGAAATACAAACAAAAATAATTCAGCACCACCAAAATAATATTAAGAGAATCCGGATACATTTTATGCTTCCAAGCTCATTAGCAATATGTTTTTCTAATTGTTATGTTGCAGGAGATATTCCAAGTAGCATTGAAGACTTAACCATGTTAAAAGTGTTGCATTTTTCTCAAAATAACTTGGAAGGTACGCTTTCAGTAAATAATAGGTGGTCTTCATTATTTTCCCTTGATAAATATTGCAAAAATATAACAGTACAACTTAGGTTTTTTTTTTTGGGGTTCAGTTGTTGTATTGCAAGATGCATTTCTAAAAGCAATTGGTGATGTCACAGGCACTTTTTGTTTAAAATTTAACTTTTAATAAGCTCTTTGGCTGCACATCAAAAGGCTTAGAAACATTACTATGCTTCCAGCAAGTGGGTTGACTTTAACATCTATAATTTATTGATTTTAAATCCCCACTGCATCACTGTTATTTGCCTTTTTTGTGCACGGTGTTAAAAAATATCATAGCATAAATGCAGTTTGGAAAAAATATATAACTAGAAAGTAATTAAATTACAAATCTATGGAATATTCTACGTTCAGTATTTAAATCCTACTATAAAATAAGTGTGGCTTATATATCCAAGTTTTGTTTAATTTTTTGGTTTTTATTTTTATAGGTTTTATTGGAATTTTGTTCAAAAGAATAAGTTTTATTGGAATTTTCATATAATCTGAAGATATAGAAGGTATTTCTCCACAAGCCCTTTATACAATTCTTTTATATTCTTTAACATATCTCTATATATTTCATTGAGCCTCCTAAACTTTTTTTAATACTTAAATATTTTCTTGTACCTTTTAGTAAAGTTCAATACAAAGAAATAACATTTTTTTCTTTTTTAAAAAATATTTATCTATGTCCATTCTCCAACAGACATTTTTTGTTGATTTTTATGTTTTGTCAATATAAGAATGTATCTTTTCAATATCTATTATATACATCATGTGAAGAAAAATAAAAATAATAAAGATGGTTATATTTTTGTCTCTAAATTCATCAAAAAACTGTCTCAAATTCAGTCTCTAAATTTATATATAAAAAAAAAGTGAAATCAACATAAGATAGATTTAGAGATTGCTAGTTTCGTCTCCAATAATTTTATTTTTTTAATTTAAACTTTGAGTGCAAAATGCTAGAATTTGAGATGGGTTTGAAGACATTTTTGTTTTTAGAAATGAGTATAATCTGTCTTTATGTTTTAAAATATTTTTTAAATTAAATCCGTCTATAAAATTATAACAGTCTCTGATTCCATCTCTATTAGAGATGATATTTAGTCCTTCTCTCTTTTAATAATTTTATGTAGCGATATTGTCCTCTCAATTCTAAATTAGCCAATTTTCGTTACCATGTTGGAAGAGATATTTTAAACAATCAATCGTCTTACAAATCTTAAAATTATATGCTTCACTACACGTCTTCAACTTGTCTTGCTACATCATTGAAGAAGCATTGAAAACTTAACTATGCTTTCAATAAATCATAATGTTTTACTGTCATATTGTTCAACTAGCTTTCATTGCTTGAGACAACGTCTCTAAACAGCGTGTTTTGATACGTTTCTGTGTCTATTTACAAGAAACAATTGATAGTTTAATACTTTCAGCTCATATGTAACCAGGCCATATACCAAGAAGCATTGGAAACTTGACTATGCTCCAAGGGTTATATCTTGATGACAATAATTTTCAAGGTATTATCTTTAATCAAATTATGAAATGCTAGTTACTATTTATGTGCTACTTTTCATATACTTTACTGCAAGCAACATTGCATTTTTTTCCTCTTTTTTTTTTTTTGTTTTGTTGTGTTTTTGTTGTGTTTTTTTCCCTTTTTGTTTTGTGGGTTGTGTCCTACTCTTTTGGTGTCTTTTTTGGTTATCGCATCGTAGCATATGTTTCTAAACATGGTTTTCTGTACATCTTCCAAGGAACTATTTCTTTTTTCTTTATCATATGAATGGAGGTATTTATAAAGAAATTTTGGTGATATTCCAAAGTTACAAAAACATGAGCTTAGATGCTAATAAGCTTTCATCCATTATCTTTGATAATATGTGGAAGTTGAATTTTTTTATATCAGTGACAGTAATTTTTGAGGATGCAGGCCGCCAATTGTATCACATGGATTTCCAAAATTTTAAAAAGAATGTCGTCTTTTCATTTCAATAAGTTATCTGTTTAGAAATTTAATGCGTCATCATTCGCCTTCAAATAGATTTTAGTAGATACAAACTGTATAAAATCTGTCTTCACAAACCAAACAACAATTGAATTTTTTTTTTTAAATTCTTATAGTTTTCAACAATTTAATATCTAAGGTCTATAATCCTTTATAAGTTATACCCTCACTTTTATAGATGTCATTGACTTTCAAATATTGTTTTAAGAAATTAAGAAATCTATCCGACGAACTTTTTTTTTTTCGCCAAATGCATTCCACAAACATTAAGTGTTGCTCAATTTTTTTTTAGTATAATATAGTTTTTAAAATAACATAAATGCGATACATGCTTACGCTGCTACGTATAATTATATGTTTATTTGATACATATAAATGGTTTTTAATTTTAAATTAAATCTTCTGATATTAATTTTTTTATATATTAGGATGGTTTGAACCCTTTGCCTCTACCCATACGCCACCTGCCCGTACCACTTGGGCTAATTTCAGGTTTTTAATTGATTTAAATATTAGTTTTAAAACGTTTATAAATCAAAATTTTAAAAATTAATTTACATTTCACACACGCAATTTAACGAGATGTTGTTTTGTTTGTTGGATGGAATTCAAGACTAGTCACACTGTCCAAACAAGTTTGGATTGTTACCGTAGAACAAATAGGGAGAGACAAAAAAAAAAAAAAAACTGCCGTGTTAATCTATGAAGTAAAAATAAAATTTAGCTGGATCATACTATTGACCCAGCATTAATATGAGTATCATATATTTATCTAATCAATCAGATATTTAAGGCTTGTTTGGTTTTGTTCTCATTTTTTGTTTTTTTTTTTGTTTTTTGTTTTTAGCCTTTGGAGTTCTCATCATAGGTCCATTTTTTGTTTTCAAAAACTATTTTATGAACAAATTTTTTAAAATAGTTTTAAAAAAATAAAATAAAATATGTCCAATTTTGTTAATTTGAAAACAATTTTAGAATAAAAAAAATGGCTGATAGATGGTTGCTAATGGTTAATGATGATGGTCTATAATAGCAGTTGATTATAGCTGACGGTAATTTATAATATAGTCAAATGTAGTATGCTTTATAAATAAATAAAAACTGAAAATAGCTCTAGGATGTTTCCTTTCTTAATTTTAAAAACAAAAAAAGAGAATAGTTTTGAAAACATTTAAATCCAAAATATCTACCCAAACAAATTTTTTTTATTTCAAAAAATAGAAATTAATTTTTGAATACATAAATCAAATAGACCCTTATATTTTGTTTTTCCTTTATTTTAGTGTTAACTTAAACTTACTTTGCATGAATTTAAAATAGTGTTTTTAATTTCAGGTTTAATACCTGCGAAAATAGGCAATCTTTATAAGCTTGAGCAGCTAGTGTTGGGCGATAACAAATTGAGTGGATCTATTCCATAGGCAATCTTTGCAAGTGTTGGATCTTTCAAATAATTCTTTATCAGGTAACCTTCCATCAGATTTTGGATGTGGCCTTCCTAATCTAGAGGAGCTATATTTATGGAGCAACAAACTTTTTGGGATAATGCCAAATACTATTTCCAATGCCTCAAAGCTGACCATTCTAGCATTGACAGAAAACAATTTCAAAGGGGTTTTACCAAGCACACTTGGGGATTTAAGATACTTGAAAAAACTTGGAATAGAGGGTAATAGTTTCACCACATCAGATGCTTCCAATTCTAAAACCAGCTCGATTACCTCATTGACTAAGTGTAGACTTTGGAATTTTTGTTCCTCTCAGAAAATCCATTTTATGTAAAACTTCCCAAGTCCATTGGAAACTTTTCTAATTCTCTACAAGAGTTGGACATCGTTTCTTTCTTGTGGTATCAATGGTAACATACCATCAGAAATAGGGAATCTTACTAATTTGATTAAACTATCTTTGGATGAAAATGTTTTGAATGGACCAATCCCAATAACAATTAGCAACTTACAAGCTCTTCAATATTTGAGTCTTGAAGGCAATGACTTGCATGGCTTAATTGTTCATGAGCTTTGTGAAATCCAACCACTTGGTCATTTACATCTAAGTCGAAACAAGTTTTCTAGAGCAATGACATCTTGCTTCGGAAATCTTTCTTCTCTAAGAGAACTTCACTTTGGCTCTAATAAGTTGGGTTTAGAGATACCATCTTCCTTTTGGAATTTGAAAGACATATTGGAAGTAAACTTGTCTTCCAACCATTTTGTTGGGAATCTTTCATCAAGGGTTGAGAACTTAAAAGCTCTTTCTTTATTAGATTTATCTCAAAATCATATTTCAAGTAGCATTCCAACAACTATGGGTAGTTTGCAAAATCTGCAAATTCTCTCTCTTGCAGATAAAAAATTGCAAGGATCTATTCCTGGATCACTTGGGAATTTGCTAAATTTAGAAAATTTAGACCTTTCCCAAAATAATTTGTCTGGGAAGATTCCTAAATCTTTGGAGTTACTTATTGATCTTAAGTATGTCAATCTCTCTTATAACAAACTCCAAGGAGAGATTCCAGATGGAGGAGTTTTTAAAAATTTGACTCTTGAATCTTTTATGATGAATCTAGCTCTTTGTGGTCTACTGCAACTCCAAGTGCCTCCATGCAAAAAAGAAACAGGAGAAAGATTAACGACAAAATTGCTTTTATTGAAATGCATACTACCCATAGTTGTGTCAATAATTTTGGTTGTTTTAGGCATTATCCTTTTAAGGCTTAAACAACAAAATTCAAGGTGTCTAGTTGAAAGGGATTTATCAACTTTAGGAGTGCCAAGAAGGATTTCTTATTTTGAAATCCTAGAAGCAACCAATGGATTTGATGAGAGCAACATACTTGGAAGAGGTAGTTATGGTACTGTGTTCAAAGGAAAGCTTTCTAGTGGAATGGTTGTTGCAATTAAGATATTCAATTTTGACTCACAAGTAATAGTAGGGAGCTTTGAAAAAGAATGTGATGTACTGCATAATTTGCGCCATCACACTTTGGTGAAGGTTATAAGTTGTTGTTCTAATGTTGATTTCAAATCTTTAGTAATGGAATTCATGCCCAATGGGAGCCTTTAAAAATGGTTATATTCTCACAACTATTTTTTAGGTTTTCTTCAAAGGTTGGATATAATGATAAATGTAGCATTTTCTTTGGAGTATCTTCATCATGGCTTGCTAGCACCAATTGTCCACTACGATTTAAAGCCAAGCAACATTTTATTTGATGATGAAATGATTGCTCATGTGAGTGACTTTGGAGTTTCCAAACTATTAAATGAAGGGGAATCTAAGACATACACAGAGACTATACCTACAATTGACTATATGGCACCTGGTAATTATTCTAAACATAGTGTCTTATTTTTTTCTTTTATATTTGTATTCTAACAATATATATCTTAACATATTATATTCACAAAAGCTTATTACATGTAATGTAGCAATATTATATAAAATTAGTGCATGACAAATTAATTAATATTTATGGTAAATACTACATGTGTTCTTAAAACACATTAAGGTTTTTGATTTGATTCATATAAATATGAAGTTTAATTGATGATTTACAATTTATCAAAGTTATCTATTGTTGAAACTTAGTCCCTCAATTATTCTAAAGAGAGAAATGTTCTTGGACATTTCTTTCTAATTTTTCCATGAAATAGAAAATGAAGAGGTTTCATATCTTATCAATTTTTCAATCGTTGAACTAAGTTAGTTAAATTTGATCTTTCTATATGTATATTAATTTTTTAAACTAATTTAGTTTAGAACATTAAAATGAAGATGTATTCTAAAATACGTGTGTGTGGGTTGTGCAGAAGTGGATGTATGTGCATGCATTAAAATAATTTATTTGTTTCTTCTACGTGAACATTCTTTTGCATATCATCATCATAAAGTTTTCTATATCTATCTTTTAGGTTAACAAAAATATGCATCTGAAAAAATATATTATTATAAATTCAAAGACATGATGTTGATAAGAAATCATAATTAAAAAATACCACTAGGAAGTGTAACATAACTTTTTTCTTAATTGTAAATGAATATTGTCTTATTCAGTTATTAGTTAAATTTTATTACTTGAATTCAATTATATACAGAGTATGGATCTTTGGAGTTGTTTCAACAAAAATAGATGTGTATAGCTATGGAATTATATTATTAGATGTGTTTACAACAAAAAGGCCTACAGATGATATATTTATCTCTGTATTGACCTTGAAGAGCTGGGTAAGTGAGTCAATGCCACATGCAATAATTCAAGTCATGGATTCCAATTTATTGCAAGGAGTTCATGACCATCATATAAACAATATATTGACATCTACATTCTCCATCCTTGAATTGGCCTTAAATTGTTGCACTGATTTTCCAAAAGCACGTGGTAATATGATTGATGTTGTAGCAACATTGAACAAGATCAAAGCCATGTTTTTGCCTAAGCACCATGTTTAAATAAGGATTAACTCTCTTATAATTTGTATTGTTATTTGTTCTCCCTTTTTTATTACCCACTTTCAGAATATGTTGGACTCTTTATTTACTATATATGTGCATTTTTCCCCAAGCATAAAAGACAAGATATTAGTTATAATAATTTTTGTATTACATTGTCTGTCAAGCTTTTTTATCAATTAATGATATATAATATATACAAATAAATTTCTCAAGTGGGTGTCCAATAACCCAACCAATTATATAAGTTCTTTTTGTTAATTGGTAATCACTTTTCATTGTGACACGCCACATTTGTAAAAACTTACAAGGGAGCTTACATGGCATTAGGCTATAAAGCCATTGGTAGAAAATATTATAAGTTAACTAGATCAACTGTTTGAAAGTTTTAGTAATTTGTAACTATGTTTGTTGTATTTGATATTAATTTATTATGACTTGCCTTCTCTACTTTTTAACAAGCAATATTAAAAATTAATTTCTATAGGTATAAGGACATTTGCGTCCTTCAACTATATTTGCGCAGAAATATATGGTATATTATATTTTTTTATGGTGCAATGTTCTACTTAAATAATTGAAAATAGTGCAATATTGTATTTATGGTTAAGACATATTAACTTTGTTGAACTTGGAACTTCAAAATACAATACCATGTAAGTGAGTTCTTTATTGGAAATTACATGGACAGTTCATGTTTTACCAAAGACTATTATTGTGCCATTATATTAATGTCTTAGATATTTTTTCCCTTTGGCCACATCAATGAGTTGTAAAATAAGTGATTATCAAATCACCAATGCTAGAAACAACGCAAATAATCACATGGTAGTTTGTCAAAGTGGTTGGTTGAAATGATATTTTCATATTTTATATGGATAAAAACAAATATTAGTCTATTGAAATTTATTTGTAATGTAAGGGTTTTAGTTAATGCTAATTTTCTTATAAGTTCCCTTTTCTATAAATTTTGGGTCATTTTTTGTAATTTTTTAGGTTATTGTCCATAATTTTTTGCGTTAACCAACAATCGAATTAATGGATATTCAACATGTGTCATATTACTCTGTTTTTAATACATGTAGCACAATATTGCCCCACCCTTGACTGCAAGGTGCTCAACGCCCCTGAAAAAAGTTCAGGGTAAGTTAACCCTATTTTCTTAAGGTGAATGATGAATTATAAACTAATTTACATGTTTGTGGTATAGCCCATTGCCCTTGGCCTTGTCCCCAATAGCTTTGGGCTTATTCTTGTATACCTAGTGTGAGTTTGCAAATGGCATAATGACGTAGAGATATATATATATATATATATATTTTGGTTAGGATTTGAATATGCCCAACAATTATTACTATAGATTTGATTTTATAATTAGATAAAAATAAGTGTGGTGTTACTTAAAAAATTCGCCCAATTTTAATTAAGATTGATCAATGATCTATTTTTAGGCACAAGAAAATATCAACAAAAAAAATCATTATTTCTATTATTTTTATTATTTTTTACATGAGGAAACGCTACCTCAGGATTTTAATTTATTTTCATTTCATAGTTAATTATTTTATTTAAAGATATATTATTTCAATAATTATTTTACAATAAATATAATATTTACTTAATCTTAGGTGGCATTTCCTTCAAGGGTCTTAATTTATTTTTATTTGATAGTTAATTATTTTATTTTAAAATTTATTTTTTTCAAATATTATGTTATGATAAATATAATATTTAATAAATATTTTATTTCATTAATATTGTGGCGTTTCTTGCTTGAGGAAATGCCACCTAATTGTTTTCATTTATTTTATTTAATGATATTTTTCAATAATTATTTTATAATTAATATAATAACTAATGTTATTTTTAAAGTATATAATTATTAAATGCTATTTATCAAATATTAAAAATTAAAAATTATTTAAATGAGAGAGGTGGCATTTGTAGATGATAGAAAGCCACCTCTCTCTCTTGTAAATTAAATTATTTAATATTATATTTAAAGTATATAAGTATTTAATAGTATTTATTAAATATTAAATATTAAAATTTATTTAAATGAGAGAGGTGGCATTTTCACATGATGGAAATGTCACCTGTCTCTTATAAATTAAATTATTTATTAATTAATGTTATTTTTAAAATATATAATTATTAAATATCATTTATTAAATATTAAATATTAAAAAATTATTTAAATGAGAGAGGTGGCATTTCCATTAGGTTAATTTTCAACAAAAAAAAATAAAAGAGGTGCCACCATTGCTATTTTTTAAATTATTTTTTAAATTGAAGATAGTTTTTCAATTATATACTGTGATGCTTCTTGGAATTTCTAAACCCTAATCTCCTCATTTTGGTCGTTCTCTTCCTCCAATTGCTTGCTCTTCTCTCTTGCAACCCATGAGTTATTTATTTTCTGATTGTTGAAGTTGCTCTTATAGTCATCTCTAGCCAAAGTTGATTGTATGAGTATACCAATAATAGGTTTCTTTTTTTCATTTTTCTTACCTCTTATCTACTTATCCATATATATATATATATGAATCTTCATGATTATGCTTTTGTTTATCTTTGATTGATAATTTTTATTTCCACTCTTGAAGGGTTTGTTCTTTTAATTTGCTAACATGCATATCTATTGGATGAAACAATTCTTTGAGTATAAAGCTTTATTAAGATATGGGGAACAAATAGGGGATCTTCAATTGTCATGCTTTCAGTGATCAACGGCTTAGTTTTGTCAAGTTTTGGACTTCAAGGAGGTAAGGATGATAATCTTTGTTAATCATTGAGGAAGAAACTTGTTTTTAATTTGGAATTTGCCCCCTTTTTCTAGTATGTATAGGTTCAATGTTAAAGGATAGCCTAAACTGGTGTGGCCACAAGGACATATTGAAGGAATATTAAAATATATAATAAATTGAATAAAAGGAATTGGGTAAGAGTCTAACCAAATTTGGGCATCGAAGAATCTACCCTGACTACTCACACAAGTTTAGACTATTAGAGTCTATACTATAGCATATAGCAGATGTATCAAAGAGAAAGAAAGGGAGAGGAAGAGTGAACTAGAGAACCGTTTGCTTTGAGATGGATTCTACCTCTAGCATCTGATCACTTTGAGACTTTTCTCATGTTTTTAAGAAAAATTATTTTGTTGCTATATTTGTTAAAAAATATCTCAACATTTCAAGTCCTCTTATTAATTAAAAGAAGATAATTTGCTACCTTATTATTTTTGCAAATGCTTTCTCCAGTTAAAGGGTAAAAATGAAAGATTATTTCATCTTTATTATTATTTTTTGGCTAAATTATACATGTAATCTTTTAATTTTACACAACAGTTTATTTTATCCCTTAATTTTATAAAATGTCTTTTTAGTTTTTTAACCCTAATATTATTAGTTTTATCCCAACAATTTTTTATGTTGAACTTGAAAATATTGACAAAATATTCTTAAATATTGACATATTAAGTTTATTTTTTTTTCAAAATAAAAATAATTGGCACAAAAGATAATTATTTAAAACTAACAATGCTAGGGTTACAAGACTAAAAAGATACTTTACAAAATTAAAGGACCAAATTGAAACATTATATAAAATTAGAG